AGTAAAGACCCAAATTGGTCCCTGACAAAAAACTCGGTGCCCAAATTAGTCCCTCACAAAAATAAACTCGTTAGATAGTCCCCAACAAAGTGAAACATGACCCACATTAGTCCTTCTGTCAATCCAAAACTCACGGTGTCAATGACGGTGATGATGTGTCACGTTACGTGACATGCTGGAGGCCACATGGGTTGAGGAACGACGTCGTTTTGAGAGACTCATACACGTTGGTCAGTATGGTCCCTAACAGTTTTAACAAAGGGGACCAGTATGGTCCCTAACATTTTTATCGGGGTCCTTTTTAGTCCCTGCTAAAGTTCTGTTAACACCAGTGCCACCATTTGCTATTAACACACCAGCAATGTCATTTCCCCTTGTACATGCTGATATTAGTCATGCATAACACAATCAACTTCTGCATAATTCCTACCATGACATTCTTAGTTTAGTCTTTATACATTGTTCCCATTCCTTTTTTTATCTCCATCAAGTTTATATAACATTTTGTGCCAATAAACATCACTTCAAATACATAAGCCATGCTACATACATTGCATGAACAACAATTCATTACACTAGCAAATCTCAACAGAACCACATTTTAAATTTCACTCCAGCCTACTTGCAAGATATATACATACTAGAAACACAACAATAATGGATCCAGCAAACACCCTAGCACACCTACACACATGCATCATTTGCTTCTCAACCCTTTCAAAGTCTGCCTGCATCTTCAATGATATGTCTTCAATCTTTATACAGTGCTCATTAATCTTCTTTTTGTGGACATTCACCTCCAGCTGCAGTTCATCATTAAGCTTCATGTCCAAAAAGTTAAACTTGAACTCCATTTCAGCTACATTTAACTCCAGCTTGTTAATTGTCCAATCTTCCAGCTCCATGGTATCAGATGTAGCATCATCCACCTATATAAAAAAGTTACAGTGTGACTTTTTTTCCTAAACCATATTCAACTATACAGTTAATAACATTGACATTACAAAAATAACGCATGAAAAAATCAACCTCACCTTGAAGTTGGGGCACCCAAAAAATGATCTATTAGGGTTTCTAAGTGTCTTGGAGGTTGAATTTGGTTCAGGCTACTGTTAGAAAATCTCAACCAGCCAAAACAAATGGCAAACTACTATTATTTCTAACAGATGTATGATTGAACTCAAATGAGAAAAACATGCTCTTACTTCGTAGGTTCTTAAACATTATAAGCCAAACCATGCCACATACATCCAGCCCAACCAATCAATCAATTATTTTTTATTGGGTACATGTTAATCTTTTCCATTTAAAATAAAATAAAATTGAAGGGATTTATTTCTTTTGTTGGGTATTCATTGTTTGTTCAAAAATAAGTATTTGGCATCATCAAAGAAATTGAAATAAAAATTGTGTTGTATTAATGAGCGATATTTTTAACTTTTTGATTTTCTGTTGAGATTCAAGTAACAATATATGTAGGATTTAGAAGTAAGATAAGCAATTTTCCAGTCTATAAAATAATATTCACACGATCTAATAATACCATAACCTATGATGAGTTAAGAAACCTTAAACATAAATATGCGAGGTATATTCTGATTACATTGAAAAGCAATATATATGCTATGAACGGAATGAAAATTGTAATGTACTGTTTTGAATTTATTTCGAATCAAACATACGTACTTTTTGTCGATAATGAAATTTGAAGGCTCTGCGTGTCTTTGTGTCTTTCCCGCTTGAAGGTACTAAGAGCAAGTAGTTATTTTTGTAATGTCAATGTTATTAACTGTATAGTTGAATTTGGTTAATAACATTGACAAAAAGTATATTTATGTACAAGGGGAAATGGGAACAATGTATAAAGACTAAACTAAGAATGTCATGGTGTGAATTATGCAGAAGTTGATTGTGTTATGCATGACTAATATCAGCATGTACAAGGGGAAATGACATTGTTGGTGTGTTAATAGCAAATGGTGGCACTGGTGTTAACAGAACTTTAGCAGGGACTAAAAAGGACCCCGATAAAAATGTTAGGGACCATACTGGTCCCCTTTGTTAAAACTGTTAGGGACCATATTGACCAACGTGTATGAGTCTCTCAAAACGACGTCGTTCCTCAACCCACGTGGCCTCCAGCATGTCACTTAACATGACACATCATCACCGTCATTGACACCGTGAGATTTGGATTGACAGAAGGACTAACGCGGGTCCTGCTTCACTTTGTTGAGGACTATCTAACGAGTTAATTTTTGTGAGGGACTAATTTGGGCACCGAGTTTTTTGTCAGGGACCAATTTGGGTCTTTACTCTTTTTTTATATACATAATTCCCTAAAGATTAAATTATACTAATTAAAAGATATAAATAATTGTACAACATAAAATTAAAAGATTTTTTATTGATATATGGACCACAATTATCTTTTCGAGGCGAGTTGGTCTCGGGTATTTTCTCAAATTTTAACTCTTTAAGTCGGCTATAAGTCTAATCCCAAGTCGGGACTTAATTACAGTTAAAGTCCATTGCCTCTCTCAAAAAAAAATATTTGGTGAAAATTGAACCCAATTTTCTCCGTACTCAATTTTATTATCAACTGAATTACATCCATTAGCTAATTAAATGATTTTTTTTAAAAAAAAATTACACTTCATCCAGTGGTTTATTCTCCAATTATTACGTCATTCCTGATGTGATTCGAGACTTGAAATCAGAAGCTGAATTCAGCTTCTCATGTATTTCATTTATTTAACAGTGCCATTCTCATGTTCGGTCGCCACGCGGCTTGCTATTTATTAGTCACACCCTAGTAAGTCTGAAGTCTATTTATGGCTTCCTTTCTTTTCTAATCACCCAATTTTCATTAGCGTCTTGACTCTTGATAATTTACGGTAATTAGTTTCCAGTTTAGAGTTTTTATTAAAAGAAATAAGGATTAAATCTCCATCCTCTTCACTGAATCTTAGATAATCTCGCCTCCTCGTGCTCATTCTTTTTTTTTTTTGTGGAAATACTCGTGCTCATTCTTTAATCTTATTGTTCAACACCAATATTTATTATTGTTCTTAAAATCAAAACTAAGATTAAACTGATGAAAATATTAGGTTCCAATTTATTAATCTGACTATTACGGATCAGCGATAATTAAATACATATTTTTTAATTATATATAACTTAGTAAATAATAAACTAATATATTGGTAAAGTAATAATATAAATTCATATAACGCCGTATTCGAGTTGAACCATATTCACAAATTCATAACATTATGTTTTAGACATGAACGACATGGTATGAAACTAATTTTTTTTTTTACAAAATAAAAAAAAAAACAAACAGTCGTGTTTTAGAGCCTTTAAAAAAATCCATTAACCCAAGATAGCTCAGTTGGCAACCGAGAGTTTTCTTGAGTCAAAGGTTAAAACTCTGTTTTAATCAAATTTTTAAAAAATCTTTAAGGATAAGAAGACATGCCTCTCTCCTCAAATAGAGAATTAATCATATTTTTTCTCATGTGACGAAGCTCAATACACCCGTTATTTCAATAAAGGAATAACTTTTGGGAGCGTACTCCGAGAACAAGACGACTAGATAAGGTTGAATGGGAATACCTTCAAATTATAAAAAAAAAAAAAAAAAACCATTAAAATTTAAAATAGATATACATTGACTTTATTCACAACAAACTTACTAGATGAGCATTTTTTTTCTCAAAAATAATTTAAAACTGCTACTCAAACCACCCAATTCATTCTTTTTGGGGTCTTGCCACATCAGCACACGAGCACAGAGGATTAGCGTTGCCATAGCCATTTGAACCTTGCTCGTATTCCTCAGTGAGGAACAACTGACGATGGATCAAACTTTGGAGTGAAATTAAAATGCTCACGTAGAACAAACCTTATTAGGGCTCTTTGTTCCATTTGAGATTTTTACCCATATAATTTTTTCAAACTAGTATTTGATTTATTTAGCAATTGGGGTCATTCAGCGTCATCAGGGACCCAACTGCACTAAGTGTTGTGATCCTTCCCTACATCACTCACATTTTTTCTTTCTTTTTTTCCAATTGAGTAACACCCCCACCCCCCTACGACACTTATAGGATTGTGCCAAGTGGCACAATCTTGTTCGTTTATTACTGTAAAATTTCGGAAGACCATAACTTTTGACTCGGGTATCCAAATCAGATGATTTTTTTTATTTCACATAACTTCTTGAGATCTACATAATGACATCTCATTTGGCATATTTTATCTCTCACTAATAGTTCAAATTTGTAAAAATGTGAAACTATTATTACAAATTTGAACTATATTTATAGAAGATAAAATATGTCAAATGACATGTCATTGCATAGATCTTGAAAAGTTATGCGAAATAAAAAAAAAATATATCTGATTGAATACTCGAGTCAAAAGTTATAACCTTCTAAAATTTTACAATAACGGAACTAATGAGATTGTGCCACATAGCACAATCCTATGAGTGCTAGAAGGGGGTGGGGCATCACTCAATTGGAAAGAAAAAAAAATGTTTAAGTGACACAAAAGTAGGGTCACGGCACTCAGTGCCGCTGGATTTCTGGTGCGACACTGAATGACCCCATTAGTAAATACCAGGAATCAAACACCAAATTGGTACATTAAAACCTCAAAAGACCCCTTTGGTCAAAGAGCCACCTTATTAGGGTTGTTCTCATAAAAAGAGAATTTGATTGACTAGCAAGGATAAAGATGAGGACAATTCTTAAAAAAAAAAATTATTTCCAAAATTAGAATCCAAGATCTTTCGGTCATAAAAAAAATAATTTATCACTAATCTAGGCTCGTCCTCTTTATCCATGGATAGATGCTAAACAAAAATAATAAACCACAATAGTACACAAATTTAATCTACTTTTTCTCCAGGTAGCTAATCATTTCACATTTGAACCTTAAAAATCTAACTGCTGCAATAGAGAGAGAGCATATATATGGGAAATTATCCCTGGTAGATGATACATGAAGTTAAACAATCCAACATAATATCCATCCAGACTTATACACATTAGAGATTAACTTGTCTGCTAAGGCAACTGTCAACTTACAATGCATTCCAACAATAAACTTCCTAAGGCAATAGAAATACCCTAATAGATAGAGCAAATTTCTACGTCTGCATAGAAATACCCTAATAGATGGAGCAAATTTCTACGTCTGCATGGTCTTAAGTTAGTTTTTTCCTACCCCTTGGAGAATTCACAGCAGTCAGAGGTGCAATCTCCTCAACAACTCTAAAAATGTCCACCTCCAAGATCATTGTGTTGTTGAGTTGGCCTCCTAGTTTAAACACACAGACATCAAACTCTTCAAGGTTATTATCCAGAACAAAATGTTTCCACCCACCAGTAAGTCCTCCGTTACGACGATTAGCAATATAGGTATATTTGACAATCCATTCAGCCTTACCCATGATGCGTAATATCACATCTTGAGATCTTGGAGAGAAATGTTCATTCATCCACTTATTTGGGATTGACTAGTCACAAAAAAGAATACAATCAATAAGAATGAATAAAATTACCACATAACTGCACAAAGTTTAAAACATCACAGTAAAGCTTTTGGCAAAATATATAAATATTAAATTAAAGTTTAAAAAGTAAAGATCAGAAGGCAATTGTTTACCAAGAAGAATCTCTTGTATACATGTGTGGGTCGCATAACTACATAAAAACCGTCATTTGAACTTGCTGCCTGGGCCAACTCGAGCGCATTTTTCTTCTCATCTTCTGTGATAGGTCTTCTATTTGATGTATATAATTCACTTGTCCCAATTTTACCCACAGATGCAGAGTCAGCTTCTATTAATGAGATCAAAATATAGTGTCATATCAACAAACAGTCCAAATATTCATTCAAACAGAAATAAAAGTATTTCAGAAAGAACCAATTTCTCAAGAAAGAAGATAGCTGTTTTGAATTTAACTAATTTATATCAATTTTGCTTACCGGGAAATCCTAATGTCTTAGATTAAATATAAAACTGCAGTAAAGTGACACTAACATTTGGTTAAAACACGCACATAAGAGCTTATTCAGACAATAACAGCAAATTAATATCAAACCAATGCCATTTCCAAGCTCCAACCAATCAGTTCAAATTTGTTGTAGAGTTCGGTGTACATTAACTCCCCATGCATGCACACTATCTGCTCCCTCACTTTATACTATCATCTATATGTATTTTGAGAAAAAACTCTGAAGTGAGTTTGTTATTAAGTGTACAAATAAGAATATATCCATACTTGATTTAGTTTGAAGAAATGGTCATATTAACTCACAGAAAACTGTACAGTTTATAAACAACCTTATTAATTATTTGGAGTTAGAACGTAGAACCCATTGACAATGTTGTGGACTTGTGGTTTTTTAGAAATTAGAATTAAAAATTTGACTGTGAAAAAGAAATTTCACACATTTAAGCTTTTCAAAGATAAAATATGTCCATAAAAAAGCAGTAAAGATATTTTCTTTCCCATTTTAATAGTAAAAATGTTACCAGTCACCCAGTTCAATGCTCCCTCAAGAGAAGTAGATGCTTTTGGTGTTTTTCCTCTCCGCTTAGTCTGGACATGCTTAATAGCAGAAACTAGCTTCTTGGTCCTTTTACCGGTAGTTTTCAAGGGAGTAGCTGCTGGCGGGTCGGTGACCACATCAGCCATAACTTCAACTTCCTCAGGGCAAGCAGATTCAACACCACCAGTATAAGTCTTTTCACCATCTGTTTCAAAGGGTACAGATTGGAAGGGTACAGCATTAAAAGTCTTTTCACCCAGATCAGTGACTCCGATACTGTTAAGATGCACATATTTCTCAGGTGAAGCACATTCAACACCACCGGTAGAAGCGGTATTACCTTCCTCCAAGGAATTATCTGTGTTTCTCTTCTTGGTGGAACATCCACCTTCATCTTCAGCATGCCCAATTTTTCGAACAAAATAAGAAGCTGCCTTCTCACAACAGCTCTGCCCATCAAATATTAAAACATCGAACAAAGAATCACCATTGTACTTAAAGACTAGGAAATCATTCTCTTTCAAAGAGTGATCTTTCACAAATTGTTGCCAACCCTGCGTGAAATACAAGGTATCATCTCTAGTTGTCAGTCCTATATTCCACACAACGCCACCAGGACCCCTAAGGGCCACATTTTCCGGCAACTTCTTCTTCAGATTATGTGAGAATGTTTTGGGAAGCGCCTGCAATCAAAATTTAAATTTCATCTTTGTATATAAGATACAGTAGGCTGAAGAAACATTTTAGTATAAAATATATATCTAAGACTAATCATAACTTCATAAGTATCTATCGAAACAATACTCTTATCGATTTATTAACAGCAAGTAGATCTACACCTGGGGAATTAGTAATGTGACTGAGAAGCATCTACCAACCATCTCAAATATAGCTATTAGCTAATGATTGTGGAACAAGGACCAGAGTAATAAGCTAAGAACAACCACATTACATTCTCGTTATTCATTTTTGTTTCTTTTATTTTTGGTCCCTCACCTCACTAAAGAAACATCAACAAACATTGACATGCCTCACAGTCATGATCATATAAGGTGCATGCATAGCCAGAACCTACAAGGTTGATTCATGTTTCGTCTATTGCACAAAATAATAATAATAATAATAATAATAATAATAATAATAATAATAATAAACTAGTAAAGCCCTAAGGAAAAGCCAGAAATTTTTTTTTTACAAAAAGCACAAAACAATGCAAACAGAACATGCAGAACAACGGCTACTCTGTCACAAATTCTAAGTCATTATCTAAAAAAAAAATGCCTGTATAATCTAAAAAAAAAACCCATGGACTGTGACAGCTAGTCTAAAAAGCTCATGACTTTACAAGAGAAAATGACAGAGGCAAAAGAATTGTAAATAGATAAAAAGAAAAAGAGGGCAAAGTTGAAAAAATTTAGTGTGATAAGTAAAAAAAACAAAGAAAGGGTCAAAACAGTGAGTACATGGAATGCATGCACTCAGTCCACAAATTTCATCCCTTTATAAGAGTTTTATTTCTCGATCCACAACAGAGAAGTAAAGAGGAGAAAGATGAAAAGAAAGAAAGAAGGACTTACAAGGCATTGAACATAACCAGGACCGAGAAATTGGGTGAAATGGAGAAATTGAAAATGGGTCCAGTAAATGTCCTCCACCCAGGATCTGTAGCTATCACAGTTTTGTCCTTCCATTTCAAGCAAAAATAGCAACAGAAAAAAAAAATAACAAATATCTCAAAAGGATAACTAAGCTTAAACACTTCAGAGGAAGATGAAGCACTGTAAGCATAAGAGGCTCAGACAAGGAAGACAAGACTGCACAGACTTTAACTCAGAGTTATTCTTATAGGGCATTGATACACTAAACTCGGTTTTAAAATGCCTAAGCCTGTTATTGGCTGTGACTGACATTTGGTGGGACCATGTACTTAAAATAATTATTCCACATAAAGAAAGAAAAAAATGAATAAGTTTTTTTAGGTAATGAATATTAATGTGTATTACATCACTAATTAATAATATATCAACAGTTCATAATATATTGCACGCACTAAACCAATTAATAAATAATATATTATTACTTTAAATGTCAAAATGTAATTTATATCACCTAAACAAATGTGATATGTATATTCATATAAAGTATTTATGTAATATAAATTTATATAGTCAATTTATTGGTCTGCTGTACATTATTGGAAAAAAAAAATTATACTGCAACTTACCTAATTATAATATTTTCTTCTTAAAATGGCGGATTAGGATCAAGCAAATAGGCCGTGAGGAAAGTCAAGTTTTACGTTTTTTACCATGTGAAAATATACAAATGGGGAAAATATCTTATTTTAATATCATTCAATAATTTTATATACAATATAATTTTTTCAATTTATAATTATTTATTATCTTAATTTTTTGAAAAAAATTAAATTATATGAAAAAGAATATAATTAAATACTTTTGTTTTCTTTATATTTTTAAAAAATGTAATTAAATTAATGTATATTAATAAAATACTAAATAATTTTATATTAATATATATATATATATATATATATATATATATATATATATATATGTGGCTCATACAATTAGAAATTTGAATCTAACTATGAATTTATAACAAAATAAAAAATATATATTTTAAAACAAGGGTACACACTCGTGCGTGCTGTGCGTACACTTGTGTGTATGTATATACTCGCACGTGTGCGTACACTTGTTGTGATACCACAATTTTAAAATTTTGATGGAAGATTCGAAGAAATTCTTATTTATTATAATTTTCTCATTAAAAATTAATGTACACAAATATTTTTTATAAATAAATGTATTTTTTATGATTTAGTATAATTCACAAAACTTAAGCAATTTTAATTATTAATTAAATCAATAGAAATAGAATAAAAAAAAACTAATGATGAGGGTAGTGATAATTTACTGAAATTATAGATTCATCTTATCTATATATATATATATATATATATATATATATATATATATATATATATATATATATATACACACACGGAGAACCAAAGAAACTCCTCGTGTGTTCACACTTGCTTCCCTCAAAAAAACTGATGTGTCAAGCTCTCATGCAGTTTCAACTTGGTGTTCACACTATGTGTTCACACTAGCATATCAATTTTTAAAAAAATACATAATAAGTTTTTAATTAAATTAAAAATTGAAATTGATGGGAGACATATAATTAATGACCCACTGTCATTTTTACATTGGAACCTAGAAGGTTTTTAATTGTTGTATTGGAAGATGAAATTTACTAAGGTTACTTGAAAATGGAAAATCCATTGAATGGTACTTCTCAAATAATGTGTTGAGTTTTTTAATAAATAGGGAAGTTTTTCTTCTTCTTTTTTGTCTTGACTGCATTTTTTTTTCATTCATGTGTGTAGGGATTGTTCTATCTGTATTAATTTCATCACCATCCATTAATCATTGCATTGCTCATAATCAAAGCAATAAGATAATCAACAAATCAGAAATGAAGGAGAATACCTAACAACGTTTCTGTGCTTCAGTTCTTTCAAGAGCGAAATCTCGCGAATGGTGGTGCTTGGAACCCCTTCGTCCTCATCGGTGTGAATTTTCTTGAGCGGGATGGTCTTGTTGACACTGTTGCTTCCTTCCCCTATCATTTTAATCTTCCCATACATCTAAACCAAAATTCACAAACACGAAAAAGAATCGGCGCCAGTTGTAAGAGTAACTGAAATCGAAAATCGAAAACGCATTGCACTAACATGTTCCTCTTCCATTGAACACGTCTTGTTTGAAAGGGAAGACATTGAGTGGAAATTTGTGGCGAAATAGAAGATCTGAGATGAAACAACGTTGAAGGAAGCTGCCTGAAGCGTGTGTAAGACTCTGACTCTCCCAGCCCAGACTGTTTATACTTTGTCTCTCTCTCAGTCTTCCAGTTCTCTCTTTTTGTCTTTTTGTGTGTGTATATATATATATACATGTATTAACCCATTAATTAATTACATATCTATTATATATATAAAAGAGAACCAAAGCAAACCCTCTTTGTTTTCACACTGTGTGTTCACACTATAAACCCTCCAAAACGCTGACGTTTCAAATTGTGATTCATCCTAAGCTGTGTGTTCACACTTGCATTAACTTAAAAAAAAAATCGCAATAATGACTTGGTGTACAAAAAACAAAAATCTTCCTCTTTCAATTGATGACCCACCATCATTAATTGTTGTATTGGGAAATGAAAGGTTTTTAAAAATTTCATTGGAAGATGAAAAGTCTATTAATGATATTTGAAATTATACTACCTAAAAAAAACTTTTCAGTTCATCATCTCTCTCTCAATTACTCTTTTAAATACCAAATTCTAAAATGGCATCTTTATTTTTTCCAGCGTCTTTCTCATCTCTGATTCTTCTCCCAAACCTCATCCTTTCCTTTCCCTACATCCACTCTCATTTTATTTCTCATTTTTTTGAACATTAGTCATGGGGCCGGTTACGTCTTTCTAGCCAAAGAGGAAGCAAGTTGGGGTCTTTAGCAAAGAAGGGATCAGACTGAAAAATTACTTGAAACAGCTCCAGCAACACCCTTTGAGAACCAAGGTCCCTCTTCTTCATTATTTACTGCATGTATCTCATTTTTAATTTCCCTTTGCATGGCTTGCTTTCCTTGCTTCTTTTTTTCATCCATTTTCATTGACCCGTTGTTTTGTTAGTCCTAAAAGAGCTACCTTTGATGGTTCACATTATAGATTGGTTATAGGTGGCTAGCGCCTAGCATCTTGGAAGAATTTATAAGAAACCGTCTAAAGGTCTAACCTTGCTCGAAAGTTAGAATCTATGGGTCACAAGCCTGAGTGTGCTTTGTGGGAGTGGTATGTAGACCAAGTACAAACTTTCTTAGCATCTAATTAGTCTCCTCAAAATGTGGAAAAAGGATTTTTATAGTTCTTTCTCATTTTATGCTTATGTTTCAGGTGTATTAGTGAAAAAAACGCAAAAAATGCATAATGGTGGAAAAGGAAAAGATCAAGGCTTTATAACGGTGAAAGCAATCAATCTACCATGAAACCAATATCATCAATGAAATTAGGGTTGAGAAGAAGAAGAACGGTTTGTGCGTATATTAGGTGGAAGATGAAGATATGAGTTATCCTCTTTTGGTTTTTTGATTTTGTAGCTTCCCATATTTTTTCTTTTATTTGTATATGCACCATGCAATTGTGGCTTCATAATAACCAAAAGGATATATTATAATAGATTCTTTCATTTTTTTATCTATTTTTTATTTTTTATTTTTTTCTTCACCGAACATAATTACTAATATCCTTGGTATATCCAAAAAAATAATGAATTTTTTAATTTTTTTTGTATGACTTTTATGATGTATCCTTTGTTTATCCTTTTTTTCTCTAGCAAAATTAAATAATATTCAAAACTTATTCGGTAAAACTTTCAAAATATTAATATTCTTTAAATGTGAATAAAATATTGAAATTCCAAAAACATCTCAAGGAAAATAACTTTTGAATTTGTGCAAATAACCTAAAATTTCTGTTTGTTTATTATTTCTATTTCTTTATATTTTCATCTTCTCAAGCTCTACTTCTGTAAAATTTAAGTTAAAATTTGAAATATTAATTTCATTGTTTAGTTTCAAATAAGAAATGATATAATAACCCCCAAGGGTAGCTCAGTTGGCAGCTGAGCTCCTAAGGGATTGCTTGGTGCAGGGATCAAACCCTGCCTCAAGCAGTTTCTTGGAAAATCTTTGGGGGCTAGAGGATAAGCCAAAAATCTTCGGTTGGGGGATTAGTCTCGTCCTTTCTCCGGTTGCGAAACTTAGTGCACCCACTGTTACAATGAGGGGCTAGTCCAAACGGGCCGTACCCCGAGGGCATGGTGCCCGGAGAAGATTGAATGGGGATACCTCCTGACAATGTACCAAAAAAAAAAAGAAATGGTATAAAACAAAAATATAATGAGAGAAAAACCCATGCAGCCCAAAAATACGATCCAAGTAATGCATCATATTGGATATCGTTTGGAATTTCTATTGTAAACCTGAATGTGTTGAAAATTTCAAGGATTTCTTATTATAATTCTGATTGCATGGGAAATTTCAAAGGTAATTGTAGACGTTTTCAAAAGTAATTCTTTTGAAAATGGTTTTCTGAAAGACACTGAATAAAAATGTATATGTTATATTAAGAATTGCAGCGAGGTCACAACATGCATTACATACGGAACCATAAAATCGATTGAAAGTAGATACAATTGGTGGTATAAATCATGTCAGAAATGTTCATACTCAGTGTGTGAAGATTTTGAAAAATAGTATTGTAAAAATTGCCAAAAACATTGGGATGATCTTATATATATTATAAAGGAAAACCGTTTGTTGGGAAGTTTGAAGACGTGTCACGCTCTCATTGAATTTCAGCTTTGTGTTCACACCTAAAGGAATTTGAAATGTTTCCTGTTATAGTAACTTTTTTAAAAAAAATTTACCTTAAAATTTAAAAATTAGATTAAAACTCGACTAAAATAATTAAAATTTAGCAAACACAATTAATTTCCCACTATCTCCTTATTGGTAGTTGCAGAAACTGAAAGCTGCAAACATTTATTGAACCTCATTGGAGAATGGAAAAGT